AAAATACAGAAAATAAAACAATGACTAATTCTATCGAATGGCTAGTATTCCTAAGTCTAACATCCTTGAGCAAAACTTGATTGAATAAAAATTATGTCATTCAACTAAACCCGGCCCGGAATAGTTCTCTGCAAGTTTTTCCAATTGCTTCGCTGTCTAGTTGAATCTTTGATCTTATCCAACCTCCGGTTACTTGTTGAAGCTCTTGTTAGAAGATAGGCCTTAAAAGGAGTGTCTCTCTATATATCTCGTTTTCTCCAAAACATACGTCCAAAATCTATTGAGTAGCTCAAATAAAAAGAAACGCAAAATATACATATGAAAGCAATACAAAACATTAGGACGAAAGTAACGGTACAAAAAAAAAAATCAGCAGCAATCATTACTTATATTATATTAGAATACATTAGGATAGATATACAAAACACTTATCAAAAGAGTAAAAAATAGAAACAATTCAAATATGTAAATAAAACTAAGTAAACTAACATAAATCGCAAACTTTATTATGATATACCTGTAAAAAAAAAGAATCCAACCTCGATAAGATGATTATATGTTTGCCACATAAGAAAAATATAATGTTACACATACATTAACTATAAAATAATTAGAGTAAAATAACCTCCAAGAGCTCGTCTCCGAATCCCAAACAAAAACGTGAAGAATAGCCCATTGAATAACAAAACCTCTATCGTTCGATCCTTGACAATTGACGATAAGAACCAGGTCGATTTATTATCTAAAACAGCTAACAGAGGATATAAGTAACACCAAAACCTAAATATAAACATATAATAAAATAGAGATAAGTCACACTTACGCATCTAGCAAGATATAGCACATGACTAATCTATCTATCCATTGAATAATAAATCATAGATCGCTCGATTCATAACCATTGACATAAAGAGAGCCATGTTGATTTATTATCTGAAATAATTTTAAAAGGATACAATTAACACAAAGAAACTAAAAATAAACATATAATAAAAGAGAGATAAAAAAAACACTTACGTATCTAGAAAATCAATCTCCAACACCTCAATGAAAAATTGAAAACAAAAGGCGAAGAAAAACTTTTTAGGCACAAGTTATAAATAGATGGGAAACATAAATATATAGTAGTTTATATATGAAGAGATAACAACATAAATTTATGAAAACTGTAACACCCGATCCCTAATCACTTTGAGCCCTAGGTCTCGTGCCCTAACTTGCTCAACAAGCAACATATCTGCACAAACTAAAAGGGAAAAAGAGGGGTAAGTAATTCCGGGAAGAAATTACTCAGTGAGATTGTTACCCACAACAACTTTAATACTTGGAAACAATAGGCAATCAAACACATTAAATCAGACATAGAACATGCATCACCCAACTTATTACTAGCAACATAACATTCACAACTAGCATTTCTACACCATAATCTCTTTTACTTATATATTAACTCATACTTAAACATTCCACTTTTCACATTTTCTACTTTTCTTTCCTTTTCACATTCTTTACTTTCTTTACTTTTCTTATATTTACGGCGGAGCCAACCTCTTTCTCGCGTTTTGGGTCTGTCCTCCCCGTCATGGCCCTCTAAGGCCTAATGGACTACAACGGGCTTACATACGCGATCGTTCRTAGTCCAACACGCAAAGTTCTGTAACGGGCTTACGTACGCGATCGTTCCCAGAACTATCCTATACTCTAACAATCTCAAACAATACTTTTTAATCTTTAACTTCATTTAACTACCAAACAATTTTCACACATCAAACAATCATTACTAACAATCAGCAAGAATCAAACATTCCTAGACTTAGCACATACAACCAACAACATCATATTCCATTCCTAGACTAACATGTAAGAACATCTAGTGTTAACTAGTATTAAAGTAATCTAGACAACACCCTCACCTTAGCCTTTATGGATAGATTGACATGGAAGAATGAACATGGAAGAATGAGCTACTGCGAATCTGCGATTAGGAACCTAAAATGTTTATTCAGTTCGGTCAAATTATACCAGTCAGAAGAAAACAGCTATAACATCTTACTCGTACCTCAGATCAAGACAAACTTGGTGCCTCTAGAAAGCCATGACTCGGAGCTTTCCAATGATATCCATATCGTCTCCTGGGTCCTTTGAGAACGACAGGAAATCAGCTCACAAATTCTCTAATCGGATATGAAAATAAGAATTCCAGTTTCAGAAACAGTGATGTTTCTCAATATTGAAATACGAAATACGAGCAGATCATATCTCGTAACTTAGAACCGAAAGTTTCTACAAAAACTAGAATCCGTGATCTTTCTAACGACGCCCATATCAACATCTAGTTCTTCTAGAATTGGCCGGAAAACGTATGCAAAGTCGGCTGGTCGCATACTCACTCTGTACAGATCAGTCCAAGTAAAACATCCATAACATTCATTCCATAACACCGAATGACAAAATTCTTTCAAATATTACTAGATCAGAGAGTTAAGAATCTGCTTACCAAATATAAGCTTCATCCGATCATTGACGAAACTGCAGCGTAAATTCTCCTCTGACTGGTCAGAAATTCTCACAGCAAATAACAACTACGAGAAAACATCCATAACTTTCATATCACAACTTCCAATGACAAACCGCTTTCTGCCTTGGGTAAATAAGAGAGTCAGGAAAGTCCTTACCAATATTCATATCGATCCGAATAGATTTGATCCTTGGTTTCTATTCCTCACCGAAACTGGTCAAATCTGCGGTTGTTCGAGAATAAGACATATCGCGACAGTTGGAAAGAACAGGCCATAACTTTCATCACAAAACTTGGATGGAGACGTTATTAGATTTTCTGGAAAGCTGAGACTCGGACCTTTCAACAGATATGTAATCGTCACACAGTTCGTGATAGTTCTTCGGAAAATCGTCTCTCAACCCGGCGGTGAAGTTCAGCTCCATGGGCAGCTAGGGTTTACAAGGTGAAAAGTAAAACGGTCAGGGCTTCGCCGCAGCTGCACTCTTGGTCTTTAAGTCTCACATCCTTTCCCTTTATATAGTGGATGATTAGGGTTTTCGATGGGTTAATTGGGCTTGATGAGCTCATTTAGCGTTGAAGAGGAAACGTTATATAAGCCCAATCCATTAAAATCCCTTTTTAAATAAAAATTTCTTCTGTTTCATTTTTCATGTTTGATCCAAAAACATTTCCGCGCAAAAATTAAAAATCA